TATTGTACCGACCTTAATTTGCCCATCATTAAAACATTAGTTCTTTTGTTCCAGGTGACACCTTCCCAGACCGACCCCAGGCTTATTTGAATAATTGGAAACCTTCAGCGTGACTAACTTGCGTACCACGGGGGATGGGGCGTGCTAATTGAACTGTGAGGATCTGACAACAAAGAGACCTTTGCTTTGATCCTTGATGCTTGTCTTACTCTCAACATTCTGTAGTGTTTCCTTCACGACTTTTCCAACAGAAATAAAAAAATAATAAAAGCGAAAAAAAAAAACACAGATGAGAAAAGCGGATAGAAAGGGGAGAAAAGAATACGACAAATTTTACTTAGTGCGCATGCATGGTCCTGCATGGTGTTAGTGGCTTCAATCTTGGGGATGGAGAAGGGGGACAAATCCGTTTATTTATTAGGCTAAATTGTTTTTCAAAAACCCAGTGTCCCAATTTGCCTTAGATCTCAGTAGCACTGAAAAAACCCAGTTCACTAGTGATGCAAATTCCATTTCCTGATTCCGAATTCCCGCCAAGCTCTCTCATCTTATTTTTTTGCTATTGTTCTCATTAGAAACGGCCACCCTCCTTAGAAACTCGAAAATTTTCGCCATGCTGAAGCAGGGAGGAAAGAGTTAAGGGCAGACTTCTGAACATTGTTGATTTCCAAAGAATTTTCTTGGTATTCTTGAACGAAAAGTGGCGTCGCAAGTAACGATGACCAGGTGAATCATTCCTCATCCCCAGTCTACAACGCGCCGGGCAAAGCGAAGAGAGCGGCCTTGAGCAGAAAACGGTATGGTTACACTCCAAACGGGAACACAGTGGTCTGCGTTGTTTCTTGCCACCAAATGTGTACATGGGTTTATCTTTATGACAATAAGATCTACTCAGGATTAGCACGCATTTTCTACGCACTGTTCTTCAATTCTTGTGTTACTGACTAGAAAAATTTGTTCCGCAATCAAAGCCTTTGTAACCATTTCTTTTATTCATACGACCCATATACGTTGGTTTATGAACTAGTGAAAAGGTATTCTCCTGCCTGACGCACGGGAAGGAGCTTTGCGTAACCACCGAAATAATGGTGCTGTAGATGTCTGGGTGATATGGACAATTAGTGCTTCCGACAGACTGATTAGTCATTTATTTATCGACAAGCAATTCTGCCCGGTGCAAGCATTCCACACACTGGAGTGTCAGCCGTCGATAATTAAATCAAGACAGGGAGGACTTGATAACCAACTGCTCACTTTGCGTGCTCATAGCGCATAGCGCAGCACGTTTTTAAAGTGGCAAACGCAGACAACTAAGAGACCACATGTAGGGAAAATGGTGAAACAGACAGTTGTCGAAAAAACGACAAATTTCAGCGTTTAGTTGTCGACCACTCGTCTCACACGCAGCGATAAGAAATACACGTAGCGACAATACGCGACAACGAAATAGTCTGTGACCGTGAAAACCCTAATGGACGCTTGTCATTCCAGCGCTGAGTTAATAAAGTTAAGACGTAAGCCTTTAGTCTGACACTCAAGTCTACTACGTTTGAGACGAGAGTGTAGTTGTGGTCATTGAGGCGCGCTGAAGGTAATGTCGTACCCAGATCTGTTGTTAGAGAGCTTAATATTCTGAGACGAGGACGAGTTCGAGTACAAGATTTTCTCAATACTGCGTGGTGCTCACTCGTGAACCAGCGTTATTTTGGCGGGAAAAAGTTCTACTACGAGTTTTAGCGAAAATGTCGTAGTTGGTGGGAACAAGTTATCAAATGTAACAAGTTTTATCATTTTGCTATCGGGAGAGGGCTTAACATCCTTCAGTATATATAACCGTACTAACTTTTTTGGTGAACAAAAAAAGTAAAATGAAGCTTTCCAGGGTGTCTTTTTTTTTTTCTTTTTTTCAGAACACGCGCAAGAACTTTAAGTTAAATCTCGTACTCGTACTCGTCTCAAATCTAAAGCTTTTTATTGGCGGAGCCAAAGGCGAGATTTGGTCAAATCCGATTTGCACAAGCGATTGCCTGTCAGGAATGTTACAGGCGACGAAAGAGCGCATGCTCGAGATAAATTCTCAAAATTCGACTTGTTAAACAACGAATTTGATAGAGCCGTGAAGCTTTCTCTTACAAAACGTGGTTACCCGCACATCTTTTAAGATGTGCCTTTTGTGTAAATCGCCTTTTGTGCAAATAGGATTAGAAGTATGAACCAACTAATTTGTTGTTGTTATTGTTGTTCTTTGTAACATCAAATTCAACGCGACAGTTGGTTTAAAATTGATTATCGTAGCGCGCGCTAAAAACTCAAAGCAGTACAAGTCAACTTGTACGCGAGAATTTTTTTACCGTTTTTAAAAGTCTTAATATTGATACCGTTCGAGAGAGAGTTGTAAAAAACTTTGAAGGTAAGTTAAAAATTGTATTACAAGTTATATTTAGACGGAAAACTACTTCTTCAGTGGAAATATTTATTTGAACAGAACTGAAGACTTTGCAAAGAATGAATTGCATACGCCATTGCGCACGCAGGTGGCCCCACCACGTCATTCGCTCACAATCCAGCCAATCAAAACAATTGAATTTTCTTACTTGACCAGATCAGTTGACCAGATCTCACTTTCGGCTTCCTCAACAAGAGATCTGGGTAAGAGATTAGCGGTGAGGAATTCGCCGCGAAACGAGCGTTACAACAAAATACTGCCCTGCAACACACCCTACTATGCAGGTCAAAAAGAATGACTCGTATGTTAACAAAATGCGAACTTTATTGTACCTTTAAGGCCTGAACTGCGCTATGTAAATAAGAATATTCGCATGCTTGTCGAGTTCTCCTCTTTCTACGTGAACACTGTTTATTTTTTCTACGTCTGCAATCATGATGGTAACATGGTTTTAAGACTTTTTGATAGGTAGCTCGGTTAAAAATGTATTAATATCTGTTTACAGCTTCTTAATATTCTCTAGTTCCTAGCGTCTTTAATGCTTATATAAAAGTATCTATGTTTTACACTTAAATTACGAGGTTCCTCATCGATCGCGGAGGCGCGAGGGCGGCGATTAATCGTGTGCTTCTGGTAACTGCTTGTTCACTTATATTTGAGTGAAATGAATGACTAGCAGTCGTTAGTCTACTGAAGTTCAAATGTTACCCCCTGTTTACCTCAATAGTCAAATTTATAGTCACGCTGGTATATCAGCTAAATCACATCCCCATCAAACTCCGATCCCCCACAAGTGGTATATTATCTAAAATCACCCGTTATACTCGTAATAAAACGATTAGGTACTAAAAACCGGGGCGCAGGTTGCTTTCAGCAAAACTACAGCATGAAAGCATTTCACTGAAGTTAAAAGTGAGTCAAATCAGATTTCTGATTTAAATTTTAAACTGCAAAACAAAACAATTATTTCGTAAGAGGACGCTTTCTGAATGAAAGATTAAAACCTATAAAAACATCTTCATTTCGTTACAAATATCTACTTCAAAACTATGTGATTTTTAACGTGAACTCACCGTTTAAAGGGGTGGCTTTAGGATGCTGCTATACTGGGGAGCGAGGAACGGGAAACTGAAGCAGTGAATTGAAAATAAAGGGCACCTTCCATTCAACCAAAATGTCCGGTCTGAGTTTTCGGCAACTTCCAGTAGCGATTGGAACAGCTTTTTCCAAAATTTCCAAAAAAGAGGACAACCTCGCGAGGAATACCCAAATTTAGGAATTTTTTTTTCCCGGAAGTTTTCTTTCCATTCAACTTTGCTCCGGGAATTTTTAGAATTTTCTGTTGAATGGTTCGCATTTCGGAAATTCAACAGTTTCCGGATTTTCTGGAAACTTTTCCGGAAAAGTGCTGCACCATTTGCCGGTGTTTCCAAATTTTCGAAAGTTTTGGTTGAATGGACCAAAGTTACTGATAGGTTTAGGGTTCAAGTTACGTTTTGTTCCCATTTTTCGTTTTCCAGTTTCCCGTTTCCCGTTCCCCGTTCGCCGTTCTACTTTTACAACATTCGTGGCTTTTGAATGCAATCTGTTTCGGAGCTCATCTATAAAACCCATGTTTACCCTCACTACTTTGCAAGCGTTTATTTTTGGTCTAGGAAAAGTAGTCTAGAGGTTCAGTCAAACCTCACGTAGGGAACAATGTTCAGCTATAATACCTTGATTGGGCGGGAACTTTCTGTCATTTTGAATACTCAAGAGACAGAAAAGGTGGTTACAATGTTTAGCTTTTTTGTGTATAAGTGGATTCTGTTAGATACTGTGCTGTGGCCAACGTTCACTATTTGCACAAATCACGAAGTAGCGCGCAAAGTATTTTGGGTAGATCATGGGGGCCTAAACTTAATGCTAAGTAAAAACTGACATCTTTTTGCCTTACAACTGTAACTTTTTATCCGTTTCTCGAACGTCCTGGTAGGTTTTCGTGCCCGACATAAAATATTCAAATCTAAATCTAAATATTAATAGCTGCGCTTAAATATATATGGCTTCTATCTACTGCATTCTACGCGTGGCACAATATGTTAACCTGGCTGTCAGTCAAGCATGATAATTATAATTTTGCATTTTCACTTTCAACGCCATCTTTTAGATTGTGATATAAAAAAAATCCTTGCAATGGTTGGAAAATACGCTTGAGCAAAAGAGTTAAAAATAAAAAAATGCATCACCTAAGGAATTAAATAAACAAACACGACTTTACATGAAGAAAAGGCGCACAGATAGTTATCCGAACGACTCGTCTCACGTTCTTGAAAATTTTTCTTGAAGTGTGATCACTACGTTCCTAAGTTTATAGTACCTTTTTTTACTTCTTTATTAAATGATCTCTATTTGTTTATCTCTTGCTGCAGAAAGTAATCTGGGTTTTTCCCTTGCTATCTACTAATCGGTTTCCAAAGTACGCCATCAGCGTTATTGTCCTCTCACAATAAACTTGAACACTGGTCGCACCTCTTCCATCTTGTGGTTTTTATGACTAACAGAGATAAGTTCATTAGAACGCCGAGAAACATGCCAGAGTGAACGTCAAGAGCATAAGTAACTTCTCAATTGTTACGACAGGGGCGTAGGAACGGGAACCTGAAAGGATCAGAAAATGCCAGTCTCAATAAATAGTATTAAACACTTAATGACTGGTCAAGAGGGAGACAGTTCATTTTGTTTCCCTCGAAAATTTATTGTTTCCCGAGGGACAAGTCTATAAGTGATTTGTTATATAACTGGAAATTTTGAGGCTGGAAATTCATTAAACCTCGCTATAACGGCGGTCATCGGTCAACATTCGCGGGTAACATTGCGTTGTTACCCTATGACGTTATAGATTTTTTCAATGTTACTCGCTCAGAGATTTTGGCGGGAAACAATTTCATTGTTAGATATCATGTGACCTCGAAGTAACCAATGAGACCGCGCGCTGTTGAGAAGAAATTTCCATTTATATAACAATAGGGGATATAACATGGCCGCGCGGAGATATGAAATTTCTCTTCTAGTAGTGAAGTATTTTTGAACATGAGAAGACAAATGTACCTTTATTTGTTTATTTATTTATTTATGAAGCCTTAGCAACGGTGACCTTTTCACGTGTTAAGATATCATGTTTACGCGCCAAAACTCACCTGGAATTTGATTGATGGTAATATAATGTTCCTGTATATTACGCCTGTACCTTATTCTCCTTAATTTTCGCGGGTTCTTAAATTCGCGATTTTCGCGATTTTAAAAAATTCGCGAACTTAAAGATCCGCGAAAAATAACGACCGCGAACTTTGATCTCGCGAAATTTGATGGACATAGAAAAATCATGTATTTGAGTTTTCAAGGGTCCTAAACAATTTTTAACACAAGGTGTTAGTACAAGGAGCTATCACCTATCAACTTTAGATGTTAATCAGTGTCAAGATTCGCCTCAAGTTCTTCTTCGGCATCTGAGTAATCATCTTCGCACAGTTCCTGCAATACATCCTTTGTACAAATTGACCATCCTGTCCCGGCTCCTTGTAGTGTGTAGTTACGAGTCTTTCCATTATCGCCCTGTTCCTTGGTGTATCGTCCATTTCACATATCACCTCAACAGGGACAGCATATTGGTTTTGTTTCAATTGTTGATTAACGTAAATTTTTTGTAAAAAAGCGAAATTAAATTCCCTACAAACACAATTTTTCTTCGCGATCGCGAAATTAAAGACTCGCGAAATGTGCCGAGAAAATTTTCGCGAAATTTAAGTCCCGCGAAAATAAAGGAGAATAAGGTATTTAGTCTGTACTTACATGGCTACTTATCTAAATCATACTACGGAATTGAAACGTTTCTGTACATAGAACTGAGCCTACTGTAGAAATTGTATACGGCCGCTTCAAAAATAATCTTTAGATCTCGCATGGCACTGAAACAAAAACCCAAGGCCAAAAACACGTTCAGGGTAAAAGGAACGGAAAGGTCCGTCAGTTTTGACAAGCAGAAGCCTAGTTCTCGCTTTCATATGTGGGTTTGCGAGGTCGAGGTCATTCAGAGAGGCAGATAATTAGAGAGTTCTGAACTGAATTTTCCATTACTGCAAACGTTGTAACTTTCCCGCATTGCACCAATTGTAATTCCCCTATTTTAAATAATCTTTTTGCGATGAACTTAACGGAAATATTCTGAGTTAATAGTGTCTAACCTATAGGATCGGGTGGCGGTGCCCTTTGGACTCTTTCCGTTAAAATTTTGATTTCACCCTGTAAAGAGGTGGATCCCCTGCGATCAGATGCCATCCAGTTATCTCTCCGCCTTCTAATGTTGCCTGGTTCCTGGGTGCAGCCTTCTGAACAGCGTGTTGAGTTGGTATTGTTTGCACAAACGTATACCTCACAGTGAAGATACACTACTTCAGTGTTGTTGAATTTAAAGGACTGGAAACTAAATCGCTGATAAGGAGAATCGGAGTTCTTGTAATTCAAGTATTCATCGACTGGGCATCTGAAACACAACCAAGGAATTTCTACGTTAGTTTATTTGGGGGACGGTATTTTTAAAGCCGCACTTATGAATCCAAAAGCTGATTTCGCATTTCTGTACTAAAGATATGAATCTAAAGTCAAGCTCCATTTATTAGCTAAAAAAAGGCCCAATTAATCGAGGTTTTTAGGATTTAGGATCCGCACATTTCTAGGGATACTGATCCGAAAAAAATACTTCTGGAAAGCGCTCTTTTTTGGAAAATATGAGTCCCGCCCCATTCCACCGCTGCTCGCCACTTTACCGTGCTATTTTGATGTTGTAACACATCCGGGTGATCTGAGATCAAGAGCAAGAGTCTAATCTCGAATGCCCTTCAAGTTATGCTCCCTTAGCACTATGGGTTTGGGGCTCAGTTCCGGCAGGTCTGGGAACCGTAAGCGTACGCAGATCTAGTCTACTGATGCACAAGCATCTATTGTACTTCATTGCCTCACAGTATGCGAGGTGTTGTATTACATTTTACTGAATTCTACTGAGTAGGCCATTTTCACGAAGACGACATTTGACTACAACTATCACAGTTCATTTCATTTTTCCTTTCTTAGTCAAATTTGCCAATCCCTCTGAGATTTAAAAATAATTAATTCCGCACAAGAAAACAGCAAATTGAGGGATTCTGGTAGTTGTAGTAAAATAAAGTCATCAAGCAACGTAATACAACGTAAAGTATCGTCGAATCCTCAATGGTTGTGACTTAGTGTGGATACCCTAAAATCAGACTATCATCTTTACTCAAAACACATGATAGGAGTTTTATAACTTAAAGCACTAGTTAGTAAGAGAAGAAAAAAAACGGAAAGAAACAGTAGGTAGTATGTAGGACTTGAACCTGCACCATCTGATCTACACCATCAAGGACTAACTACCGACATCGGTTAATTTTAGCGCAGTTTATATGGCATTGATCATTACATTATTGAAAGCTAACCGTTTTGAAAAGAGTGCTTAACCCTAGTCACTGTACTTCGGTGCTAAGCGTCATATTCAACTCTTTTCCTTGCACAACTGTCCCTTCCTCTGATTTCCAGTCATGTGTATGTGTGTGTGATCGACACATGGCTTATACGGACTGTTACGGTGCGGGTGTCTTGGACAACCCTCCTGATTTCCCCACTTTTCTCAAAAATTTGCCAAACATACACTCATAAATGGTTATCTACGAGGAGTACACCGTTGTGTAATAAACATAAGGTGTCCAACCTGATTTCCAATCCTCAAAATTTAAGGTGGCTGGACTGGATTTATTACGGGGGATACCTCCCAAGTTTGAGCATTAACTACGTCGGCAGGTACATATTCCCTTGAGCGATTTCTTAAAAAACTCCTAGTACAGAGAAACACAAAGATAAATCAAAAAACGTAATTAATGGCGTCATTACGTTGCCATGACGACACCGATTGTAATAAAACCCAGATCATAAGAAATTTTTATCTTTATATAATACAGTTGTGGTAACCTTTTTCCTGTATCTTTACTCATGCCGACGTAGTTAATGCTCAAACTTGGGAGGTATCCCCCCTAAAAAATCTAGTGGAGCCACCTTAATGTTGTTATACATTTTTGGATAGATAGTCGTATACGGGAGTGGTCACACAAGGAGATTCGACTGTAGTTTTTCTGCACTAAATTAAATTTGGCCATCATTTATTTAATTTTTTGTAGTTGACTTGACTAAAAATAGTTAACACCATCCTTTTGATGCTTACCCGTCTTTGATCAAGGGATAGTATCTTGTATCATTTGGATTTGCAGTTGGTGTCGCACGGCAGTTCTCTAGGAGCAGAGACAAACCACTTTCGTTGCCTTTGATGTTGACTTGCAGGTAGATACTTTCTCCAAGGTGAACTTTGACGGGGAACTGTGTGTACTTACTGATGTACTTGTCTGTCTGGTACATGCTTGTTTCAAACTCGAAGACTCCAATGCCTTGAAATAAAGTCGAGAAATCATATCATAATATGTGTACATAGTCTCATAAATATGCTGATCATTTCTTTTAGGAAGGCAGGCAGTAAAAAGTATTCAAACGTTCACCATCAGTACGCAAGTGGGTTTATAAAGTAAAAGCCGTTTGACTCTGACTGGAGGTTTAATCAGCCGATGAAAAAGAACCCAAACACAAACCTTTCATTTTATTCAAAAAATATACATGGAATCCTCTGTAAATTTCACCCCCACCCCACCCCCACCCCCCCGTCTTTAAGGAAAGTTAACGAGCACCCCCTCCCGTCGCATTTTTTCCTTCACAAGTGAAGTGGTTAACTATAATTAAATTATTCCATCAATGTACGCACTTACCACATAAAGATGGCGCTCGAAGGGGTGGGGAGTCCGGAGAGAGAACTTAATGGCGGAACTATGTGCCCCGTTCCTCAGAGGCCGCGTTAAGCTTACGCTATTTGAGCCTGTGGGCTCGTATGTGCCTTGACATACAGTTTATTTGAATTTGAATACCTCTAAGCTAGTATAGCTATGTAGAGGATATTAAATGGCAGCGCGGGGATACGAATTTTATCTTCGAGTGCTGAAAGTATCTCTCACTCGTTCGCTTCGCTCACTCGTGAGAGATACTTTCAGCACGAGATGATGATGATGATCTCTTTATTTTATAGATACTGAATGAAATTCCTACATAAAACACAACTTGAAGCTCATCTGCGGATGCATTTGCGGAGAGGAGAGTGTCGACACGAAAAGCTATCCGGTGTGTGAACTAAGCCTTAGTCAATAAACCAATGAGAAAGTAAAAATGTTTAGCCTATTCCACAGGGTCCGGAGGAGTTCAGTTTGTCGTGACAACTTCGAAAACTCTATTAAAAACGGGAAGCTCTCTTGTAATTGGCTAATCATGTTAGTAACCATGGCGACACCAATATCCTCACACGTGAAAGATAAAACTAGTATCTTCACTGCGCGCGATGAAGATATGATTTTTTAGTAAAAGAAAAAATCTTGGTATTTCATCAGTATCTATATAATAAAATTGTGTCAATAACAATAAGTCTTATTACTCCCAGCTGAATTGTACTCTACTCAATCCTATTAACCATTACTTATCCAGTACCCTTTGAGCAAGCTTTCGACTCTGGGATTGGGTGGTGTGAGTGTTAGTGTACCGTGAACTGGGGGAAGGGATTGCATCATGGCCTCAGGAAGTTTCAATTTCTAATCGCTACCTCCCGAGTCCACAGTTTGCTCGCAATCTGTTTATCAGAGAAGAAAAGACATTATTAACAGCACACTTACCTGGTGTAGGGGTAATAATTATGGGTCCTTTAGGTTCTGCCTTGAACGAATGCAGTGATATTTTAACAGAAGTGTAGTAAAGACACTGAAGACCGAACTGATACGCTGGAACTCGTGAAATGCCCGAACTTCCACTCACTTCCGCATAAACGTCATTAGTAAAAAGTATTAATTTGCCCTGGATTGATGACTTTGTACCGCAATTGCCTAGCGGCGCTCGAATGACCATGATTGTTTTGTTGTAAAAGGCAACTTTACATCCTGGGTCTCTTAAGCGTAAGGTCTCAGGATCTATCTCGTTATAGTGATCTCTTTCCAGGGTAAGCTGCATATACTGTGAAATGCATTTGACGTGAATACCTCCATAGTCTTTGTTATCCCCTGTTAAAGAAAGTAGAATCACTTTTTGAAACAACAATAAGGAACATCGAAGAGAACTAGGAACGGGATAGTGTGAGACGAGATGGTACAAATCACATAAGCACGCAATGCGTACAAAAGCCACGGCATTGGTGATGATGATGATATAATGATGAAGATGGTGGTGGTGGTGGTGGTGTTTAACGAATGCAAATGAAAAGAGGGATGGAGGTGTAACCTCAACGTAAAGTGGAAAGAGGATTAGACTATGAGTAGTCCCCATTTTTTCTCAGGGATAGTAGAGCGAGCGAAACGCGAACGCCCGTGAAAATCACCTCACGCGAGAAAGGCGAGACGAAAAAATGGGGACTACTCGTAGTCTAACAGAGGATTTACAAGCGTACTTTTTTTCCGAAGTCGTTTATTTTTATTTTAGAACGGGAATGAGTAAGTAGAGTTGATCAACTTAATTTCTCACAACAGGAAATGACTCCATTATTGACTCTGAGCGCTCTGATAGTAAAGAAGTTAATCGGCTTTCCAACATCCAGCATCGTTGAAAAAAACACAGCATGACATGTTGGATAAGCTCAGCACGGTGTTTCCAGTAAACAGACGTACAAGGGTGAATCTTACGCTACCGCAAGAAAAAGTTTTAAAAAACCCTGAATTTTGGTTGTACATTTTTTAATTTTGACGTCTAGGTCGCTTTTTAGGACCGCCTTTTATCATTTCTCTGTCTTTAATTTATGATCGTGGTTATTAATAAGAACATCGTGACTGAGGCCTGCGTCTATCCTGTGGCGGTTTGCCTCGCTCGAGTTAATGCCATATCATTTCTCAACCTTTCATTGGATAATCAATCAAAGTTAGACGGTTCTATTGTTATTTTTTTAATAATTGTTATGGTCTGTTGCCAATATCAGCTAGAATAGAAATGGATTGCAACATATGTATTTAGTAAGTTCTGGGCCGGATCTAGTGAGACAACACTCCTTCTTTTCTATAAGAAGCCTTTTCCTAAGATCGTCGAGGCTAACACGGACCGGCCCTAAACGTAACTCAAAACTGAAGCTAACAGCTGCATGTATCCTTATTCCGTTTTACCACTTGTACATGCGCCATAAACAAGTAAAGGAAGGTTATTTTTTTTTTTACATGATACAGCGCGCAATTATCTTTTTTAGGTTCATATTGGTTTTCTGAATTTTATCACGTAACTTAATATAATTATAAGAACACGATTAGAACATTTCAGGCTCAAAAAATGAAAAATAAGAACGCCGGTCCAGTTTCCATTTAACCTTTGCCACAAAATGCTGACATCTAAAAAAATTTATTGCATCATTGAAAAATTCACCGTTCATGATAAATTCGCTAAATATCATCGTCTCAGTTTTGCTGCTTAAAAGCCGTCAGTGAGAGTGATGCGAGTCTGTTACTTACTGACTCAATCATAAAGATACCGAAAGTTTTCTTGAACTTTGAGTCGAAACACTGTTCAGCAAGAGGCAGGACAATGCAGTCAAAAGAGCTTCCTTAAATATTTTGCATATAACAGTGTGTCAATTTCCAAACAACCATCAACTCCCACGAACAAAATGATACAGTATTTTCAAGAACAAAAGAAATGTTACGTGGTATTGTGGATCGTTTGACCAACAACAAACTTAACAAGAAATCGCCAAACTTTACCGGTTACTTTTTAATGTCATCTTATTTGCGACTGTTGGCATGAAACTTTACAAAAATTGTTTGTCGAAATATTATTATTCCATGCAATGTATGATCGAACTTTCCTGTAATTTAATCCACACTCATTTAAAGCAAGCGTCTCCATTTCTTAGGGTCCTTCTTGAAGTAATAATATTAATAATCGAATCGGTATGGTAGGAAGTCATTTGCTTCAAATTACCATTACATGTGTGTATTTTACCTATTTTTCTATCGAGCTTTGACAGGTCAATCAGATGATATGTACAAGTAACATGCAGCTTTTACATAAGAGCCCAACCTTAGTCGAGAACAAACAGTGCGGTCTCCTTGGGCCTAATTCAAGAGCTAATACTTGTACTTTAAATTACGCTGAGGCTACTTCTCCGGCAGCCGAGAAAGGCCTTTAAAAAACTAAATGCCCGGCAGTTAGAAAATTTCCGAGAATAAATTAATTACAGTCGCACTTACAGTGTACAATACGCGATCACCCAAAATGTTAAGTTTAAGTGGTCGCTCATGGGATTGGTTTGTCGCTTACGAAATTGATTGCCTGCCGCACAAGGAGTTTCTAAGTTGTATTTTGAACTTTACAGCGTGAAAGGGAAGGATAGTGATATCATCAGAATCTGAGGATGGGTATTTTTTTAAAAAAATAGCAACCCAAACAGCGCGGTGGACAGCTGTTTAAAACAGTGAAGTTGCCAGCTGAAGCCGCTGCAGCATTACGAAAGATTGCCTCAATTCGGCTTAACTTCTACACAGTGTCTTTTTGCAAAAAAGAAAAACAACTTGATGAACTGGCTCCTCGCGTGGCTCAGTGATACCCTGTAATTAAGGCAGACGCCATTTCCGACACTGTGGCTCATCTTGCTCATCTCTTTCTCGATGTGAGGAATTAAAGAAAGGAAACTGCTCTCTCATGAAAGCTGCATTATAAAGAGAAATGAGCCGATTCAGATCTCAGCTACAGCTGTACGTGGGACTTGATATGAATAAACGCCTTATCAGTATTTTTACTTAAAACAGAAAAAGTTGTATGGGATAAACTAAATATGGATGTTCACATGGACTTAACACAGCTGGAAAACGTCCATATAACGGAAAAGTCGATTTAACTACTTAGTTATTGTATTATTATTGTAACCTACAGTGTGAAAGAGATCATCTTGACCAAGAAAGCCATGGCCCCACCGTCTTCTTTACTCCGCCAGAGGCTTACGGCTTTATATGCCTGCACACGGACTGGTCAAGGAACAATTTAACTCTTACTCAGGACTAAGAGAGAAACTTAACTAACGCCGGGAAAAATTGAAGATATGTTCAACTTTTCACTGGAGCGAGTGAATGCGTGTTAATTGCGCGCGAACTCATTCTATTCTTATGGGTCACACTATTTCTTTATATGCTGAAGGACTCGTCACGATGAACTGTTCGCTAGGTTATCACTCATGATGCAAGAAGTCAGCCTCTAAGCACTTGCAAAAGTTTAAGTAGTCTCTTTGAAAAGCAAGGATAAGTTCAAAGATCAAGGCACTTTATTCGTTAATAGTGTTTTTTCACCTCGCGGCATAAGAGGTCTACTAGCTTTTCGTGTCATACAGAGCGGACTATAAACAGAAAGATGTAAACATAACGTGATGCTTTAATGATGTTGACAAGTTTTCAATCTGTTCCCTTTCCTTCTTATCAACATCCAATGTAACGTTCTTGGCTGTTGGACCACTCGACGTGCGCCAAGAAAAGAGAAGTATTGAAAACAAAAGAAGGCGTTTTTATTGACCCTTGCAGCAATCGAAAGTTCTCGTTCAATATTTTTTGTCTGTCTCGTATTCTCACGTGTAACATGGCGGGCCAGTCTTTCTTTCCCCGGGCGTACTTTTATTAAGAAACCGTTGCCAAGAATCAAGAACTAAAAAACCTCGCTATCTCGTGCAGCTTAGCCCAGAAATAGACGACTGATTCAGAATCCTGGTTACAGAAGAGTGATCCATTAAGCCACTGTCTATTGGGCAGAACGTGGTTAAAATTATGTTTTTCATTAATTTTTGATCCCGTAGTTGGAGTTCTACAGTATCACGTGAATACAATAAATTTGTCATTATCTTTCGAAACTGGCCGCATATTATCGGATTTTATAGCTTATTCGAAGCCTCTACATTGAAATCTTTTTAAAAGTGCATTTTAACATTTTCGCTCCACTAGAACGCCCAGCTTCAGACAAATTTAAAATTATAATTTCACAGTGCTCACAAATACATAATTCCTTATTTATACGGATGTTGTGTGAATAAAACTAACGAAAATGAGCCAATGAGTGCAAATTTTTTGTCGATTATACTGTATTAAAGAAATGACCAAAATCGATAATTGTCTGTCACCATTTTTCAGGAACGGGGCCAGAATTCGGGTCTTGTAACTCGTGTTTATTGCGTGGGTTTAGATGGGTACCCCAATTAATATATTCAAAACGAGAATAGTCATCTAACTAGCAGTCGCCATGCATGACCTCGCACACGAAATTATATAATTTTATGAACATTCCAATTTATATCTAGGAGTTTTCTGGAAGAGAAAAAAGTAACATCGAGTGTGTTTGAAACAAATATTTCTTAACAATTTTAGTATAGTGATTGCAAAATCATTAAAAAAAATGACATGCCCTGACGAAATTGAAACACCTGGAAGAAATATTCTGTGTGATTTTTTCGTTTGTGGCTTATAAGTTATAGTTGCAGAATGCCACCCATTTTTTCACAGTAAGTTCAAATTCTTACAAAAATTAGTCCCTCCCGTGAGCAGTTTGTCAAGTTATATCACGTTATATTCTTCATAAAAGTATATTACTCTGTGCAGACTGTTAGTTATTAATGTTTAATAATAATTCGATATTACCTGGTAGGCCATCTAATCAAAAATTCACGCTTGCTTACGGGTTATACTGTGAAACTAACCACGTATAAAATGTTTTTGAGTGCAAAAAAGCAATTCCCTTACCGTCTTTGCAAAATAAACACGAGGTCATTGATTCAAAATACTCTTTACTTGCAAATTAACTCTAGAAAGATGTAGACAAAACATCCAAAAAAACGGCGCCAAGTTATCCATAACAATACGTCAAAAAAACCACAATTCGAAATTCTCACTTAATAACCCAGAACGCGAGAAATATGTATTTATACCAAAGCCCGGACGCAGCTTTCAAACGTTTTCCGCCGTTTAATCATAGGAGAGCCTACAAAATCGTGTTTAAATTAA